AGAGAGAGAGAGAGAGAGAGAGAGAGAGAGAGAGCGCGCGCGAAAGTGAAAGAAAGTCATATGGAAACATAAAAGAATATATGTCCGTGCTTGCGATGCGTGCATGCATGTGTGCGTGTTTGCGTGCGTGTGTCCGTGCTTGCGTGCTTGCGTGCGTGTACGTAAGCGTGAAACCTCGCACTGCGCCCACCAACGACGAACGGTCGGCGGAATCAGCTTAGTAGCCAGCCGTTCCCTGAGCTTGCACGGACAATGACAGCAATCCTGATTTCCACCCCGAAAGCAATCCCGCGAGCGAGAGAGAAAGCATCAGGCAATAAACCGACAGATTTACCCCCTACATCCCCAACACGTGCAACTACGCGCCCTACATCCGCCAACACCACGCGCGTCTCTGGCTGCCAACTTGTCACGATGTCCGCCATATTGTTACCATGTACGCCATATTGTCATGATGTCCGACATGTTGTTACAATGTCCGCCATGTTGTTACGATATCCGTCATGTTGCTACGATGTCCTCCATATTGTCACGATGTCCGCCATATTGTCACGATGTCCGCCATATTGTCACGATGTCCGCCATATTCTCACGATGTTCGCCATATTGTCACGATGTCCGCCATATTGTCACGATGTCCGCCATGTTGTTACAATGTCCGCCATGTTGTTAAGATATTCGCCAAAATGTCACGATGTCCGCCATGTTGTTACAATGTCCGCCATCTTATCACGTCCGCTTGCATTTACGGTATAGTCACGCGTGAGTTATTTATTATAAGTCGGCGTCTATCGCGTGTGTTTGTGTGTTTATCCGGCGACATTGTCGCTTGATGGGAGACCGTAGCGGGGTGCCGCGGCGGTACAAGCAGCGGCTAATTCACCGTGAAATTACGGTCGTCGTTCGCGAGCACAGGTGGCGCTGCATGCGGGCGCGTCTGCGGCGCCGCGCCTCACCCAACCGGGTCCAGACGAAGAACTTAAGCTTTCTCAATCTCTCAGACCACGCGGCTCCGCCCCCTTCCCCTCGTCACTGGGATGGTAAAAGGGAGAGTAGAAAACCGTGCAGCCACCCCTCTCTCCTCGCATAACCTTCTCCTAGAACAACCACCCTCTCTCCGAGCAACCCCTTCGGTGCTAGAATGAAGTAGAAAATGGGAGAGTAAGAAATCCAAAGAGAATTGGAGAATGCAAGAGTGAGAAAATGGGAGAGTAAGAAACCCAAAGAGAATGGGAGGTTAGAAGAATGAGAAACCCTACAATACAACAACCGCCCTCTCTACTAGCAACCCACTCGAATAAAGTAGAAAATGGGAGAGTAAGAAACCCCAAGAGAATGGGAGAGTAAGCAAATGGGAGAATCCCTCCTCACCCACCCTCTCTCTCCTGGCATCGCCTTCTGTGGAGGAGCGGATAGGGGAGCAAACTACGCGCACAAGATTGAATAATTTCATCGGATCTCTATAGTTCGCACGCTAATAAAGTACATCTCGGTTAAATCCAAATTAAATTAAAAATAACTTACACTGACGAAATTGGAATGAAACCCTGAGGAAGTCTATCGGAGAAATGGACGAAAAATTTCGTCAGTGTAAGTTATTTTTTTAACTTAATTTGGATCTAACTGAGATATACTATTATTAATATAATTATAAATTAATAATTAAAATTAATAATAAATTAATTAATTATATTATATAGTATAATTATATAATAATATAATAATAACTATACGTTATTAGTACGCGCACATGCTATAGGCTAGGCAGCACAGCTTGCTAGCGGGAAGAGGTGGTTTGGCGGCGGTGCGTGGCACATAAACATGGGTTAAGGACTCGGGGGAATGGCGTTCCCATGCACGAACTGTGCTCCATCCGGGAACGCGGAGTCGCGTTTCGCCCGTAAAACCCACCGCTGTGACGGGATGAAGGGAATTAGGATGAACACTGCAGGAGGTAGAGAGAGAGAGAGAGAGAGAGAGAGAGAGAGAGAGAGAGAGAGAGAGAGAGAGAGAGAGAGAGAGTAGAGAGAGAGAGAGAGAGAGAGAGAGAGAGAGAGAGAGAG